ATCTCGAGAATTCGTTGAGGGTCGACTGTCGTGTCTCATGAAGTGGAAACCTGGGTAGTTTGATCTTGGTTATACTTCGTCGCCTCGAGGTTATGTAAGCAATACTTGGTTCCGGGTTTTCAGCAAAGCCCTACATTAGCATTTATTAATTACACCGTCTCATGAGTCTGTACTTTGGTTGACGCTATCATACTACCCCTAGGTTCCTCCTCACTTCCTAATATGTGCCTTTCTATTATGATGGCTGTAGGAATACCAACCGTGAGAACCTTGAATTTCGCCCTTATTATATGAATGTAAACTGACTGACAATGCGCTCATATTGGTACGCCATGGGAATTTCCATTTTCAACACGTTGGTGTCAGCCAGAAGCTCATTTTTTATTCCGTCGTACAACTTTATTGAATTAATTGTCATTCATTAATTAGTCTACTGTTGTACACTACGTGGGAGGTACTTATAACTGAGCTCAGTCAGTTCTATCCAAGGCTGTGAAATGATAACATCTTGTCAGAGCCTGCCAAGTCAGCCTCGAAATAGGGTTTCGTTTAGCCTAAAATAAGTCTTAACTAAATTTACAAGGTTCAATAAATCCCTACAGCATATGATAATTTTAAACAGTAAAAAAAGCCAAATAATTTGCGGCTTTACGGATGATGATTATTATTATTAACTGTATCTTGTCTACACAACCCTAATGCAATTACGGGTAAAAAAAATCCTGGCCCAAGGCTTAAAGAGACTTTTTTCTTTTGTAATCTATTACTTGGCTGATTAACATAATCCAGTTACAGTCCATATATTCAACAATAACGCAATTAATCAAATCTGGGGCGTAACACTATTTTTTATGACAGATCAAAAATTATATAAATACTAATTTTCAGTGGAGTTGAAGGTGAGAGTGTTATTTCCTCACAGCGAGAAAAATCCAATAAAAATCACCAGAAAAAAATGTGAAAATTACGTATGGAATTGTAATCCACGAGCGAAGAGAAGTCCAATAAAAAGTTCGGGCTAGAGCGGAAATTATGTCCGGTGGTACCTGCCCTGTGAATTCTACGATCTATTTTGTAAAAAAATACCTACCAGCCTGATGACCCAACGGTGTATTGATAAGGAATTATTTCGTAATTTTTACCGCATCCGAAAAACGGATACGGAATATAAAAAATACAAACATTTTTCTGTCTGAGATTTTAGTTTAATTGATTTCATTTTATTTCATCTAATTTAATTTAGATTAAAAGTTCTATAATCACATCATCATGACACCACACTCAATTGTCAAGAGGAATTACGATTATAAACCCAATTCAGTGCATATGCAATCATCTTTTCATAACTCAGACTGAAATCCAATAACTTTTCTCCAAAACAAATTGTACAAATTAAAAAAATACTAAAAAATCAATTGGACGAATCAAAAACGGATCAAAGGAATCATTGAACTAAAAATAATTGGAGCAAAACTACCAATCCCGATCTAGAGCAATATCATTCAAAAAACTTATTTTTTTCTAGTAAGAAGATGAGGAAGATATCATATATATCACATTTATGAACAGCATCGAAAATACGGCAACGAATTTCTAATTCCTCCACTCTTAATTTTTTATGGGAGTATTAATTTATTATGCTCTAAATTCTTCTTCTGAAGCTTGGATATATTCACGCTCGTCGTTGTTCCATGTTCTGCCATAAACCCCATCGCATTAATTTTCTGGTCGACAAAATAAACCCTATAAATTAAAAATTCATTATTCTCTCATTATACACTGAGAGAAAAGTCCAAAAAAATTACTGTGCCGAGCACTACAATCGTGGTGCAAAATGCTAGAATACTAGAACTTCTTTGATTCACAAATAAAAATTACTATCAATATGTCAAATTTTCTTATACATTCCGTAATTAATCATGTGTGGCTCCATAAGATTTACTAAACAGCACTATCAAATTTGAAGGTCTATCATTTTTTGTTTGAGTTTGAAAGAAAAATTGATAGAAATCCTTCAAAAATTCCTATCCAGATCAGTATTTTTTATTGTGCTTTCTTTTAATTTTTACTGTGCTACACAGCATTTTCTCCAAACATTTTTTAACCCAATATGATTGGTTAGCGATGAATGTCGAATGTTTCCGATTCTTACCGAAGTTGAATTTAACAATGGTAACTGTTGCGACGACTATGAATTTTTATTTGGCCGATAACGAAGTTTTGCTCGGCCGATGAAGAAATATTACTGCATGGCATAGTAATTTTTCTCAGGCCTGCAGTTTACACCTAGATTGTAAGGCAGCACAGTAATTTTTATCGGAATCACAATATAAAAATTCATAGATTTTTCTCTCCATGTAATGAATTTTTATATGTTCAGACTAGTCATAAGTCCTTTTACATTCAATTTTAATTTTTAATTCACTTACTCATCGCTTTTATTTTCTTTAATTCCCATTAATGTCATTCTTCCTTGGATTTCTTTTTTCTTTATGTTCACTAAAAATTTATTTCCATGCAGAAAATAAAACAAAAATATTGAATAAATAACATAGCTCATACCCCAGAGAGAAAAATCACTTTACTTCAATCTTAAATCAATTATTTATGAATGAATTCAATTTTTGTCATGGGACGACATTCGCTGTTTCCCTTCATTTTCGTAATTGGCGATTGCGAGGTGTAATAGAGCCATTGAATTTCTTCATAAAAAAAATGTATAACGCTTTATTATCATCAGAAGCGGTCGCGTTATGAAGAGCTTCACATCATTTCACATTCATGTACCCATTTCGTTGTTAGATTCGACCATCGGATATGATCATTACTGAGTAAAACAAAATCCTCGAGCGAAATTGAAAAGAGTATCATCGATAAATAGGGTTGTGGTTATTCAGTCGATGGAATGAGCGGTCCAATAATTCGAGTGAAGGTTCTCAGTATAAAATCCCCATTTCCTGAGTTTTTTATTATTCATATTCAGCAGAAAACCAATAGCCACTCTGATCGATAATTATCCAAACTTCATAACGTCCATCTGGTTTGAAGCAACTCACCGAAGTTATTCACTCGTCAGGTAATAATTGACATTATTAATAGCTTAATGACGAACAAATCATCCAGTATTATCAAAAAATTCAATGAGAATTGGTTTATTGAAAATCAATAATTCTCATTGGGAAGTTAATTGACAGAACAAATTCAATTACCTTTGTGGTGGCTTTTTTTAGTCCTCCAGGAAAATATAGGGCAATAGTTCAGCTGAGCTCTAAATAATCAAATGGAGAATTCAATAAAACTCACTAAATAATCAGATTAACTTTTTTGAAATTAAAAAAGTATGAGTGGTACTTTGAAACAGTTTCTCTTTGTACAATGAACCCTTTGTGAAATATGATTTTCGTGGGGTTCATTGCAAGATAAATTTCATTCCATTCCGGGTAAAAAAAAATTTATAGCTTTCCACAAAAATCGGAAAAGGGGTTGGATTTTTTTAATGAACTTCGAGTCATTGCATTTTATTTAATATCCAAACTAAAAAGCACCACGATTCGAAAATATATATTCCCGATTTGGGAATTCATGTCCGTTAATTGAAAACATGATTTTTTAATTATTTAATCTCTATATATATTAGATTCATGATTTGTGATTCTGAATCGAAAATTCATATCACCGATTTAGAAAAACGTTTTCACGATTCAGAAATACGTATTCTTATTTGGACTATATAGATTTATGTATTTATTTATGAAAGCTGTTTATCTATGCGACTGATTGCGGATTAAAATAAACTCAAATCAAATTTATTTTTTTTCGTGATTTAGGTGCTTGACCCTGCAAAGAGGTCACGCTATTCAGGTGCCAAAACCCCGAGAGAAATATTCAAGAAAAATTATGGAGAACACTTGACGTAGAACCAGAATGCTTTTAGATGAATTTCTGTAGAAATATAGGAGAAAACTCTGAAACGTTCAGTAAATTATCAGGTCTGTCCCTAAAAGTGCGAAAAAGTTAGCTAATTTTTGTAGAAACTGTAAAATCTAACAGGTATTTCACAAATCATTATGTTCAAGCACTTTTACGTAATCTGTCACAAATGTCGCGTGTTTTTTCGCGTAATTCTTATTGGACTTTTTTATCGGTGGAAAATAACTGCTTAGTGTATAAGATTCCTCGTTATGAAAACTATATCGTATGATAATATGAACAAAAGATAAACAAAAGAATACTCCCAATAATAATTAAAAAGCTGGTAATATAAAATATTTGAATATCACTGGAATGAATTCATACCAGACAACGAAAACTCAAGTGGCCACTATGAAAACTGCAGCTAACTGAATATGAGAGGACGTTTGTTGAAGAGGTAAGGGGAATACAGAATTGCTCGCGAGACCTGGGCTCAAATGAATTGTTCCACTCTTGGCCATTTCATTATTAATGAGATCCTCGTAAACGGAGAACACTTTGGGGGTCGGGTTTTGGGCGATGGAAAACAAAAGGGCATGAACTTTTAACCATTCATGCTGGAACATCATGGTGTCAACTGCATATGCAATTAAATTGCAAATATCAAAGGCACTTGATAGTTTTTGTAACTTGTAAAATTCCATATTTTTGGGCATTAAGACGGTTTGTAAATCAAGTTCATTGCACACAAGGTGCAAATTGTTTTTCAAAACCGCGAAACAATTATTTTTCCGGTGTGGAAAGCAAAATTAACAAAACGGCAAATTTTTCAATTTGCAGCGGTAACACCTGGCATGAATTTTTGAAATATCGCAATTGTGTGTACCGATCGAAATTGAAATTGAATTTTCATATGTGGCAGAATGAAACTCTTTTATTATGGAAATTTTGTTGGTTTGATTATACCGATTATGGTTTTTGTTATTCGTCCTAAAAATCCTATGGATCGTAATTGGAATTATCTGATTTTTAGTTGCATTTATTTAAGGGCTAATAAATAGAAATATTGAGATTTTCTTTTATTACAGGACCCATAAAACTTGTATGGGCTGAGGAGAATGAAGATGTCGAATTACCATGTGACGTCACTCCACCAGTAATTAATGATACAGTGGCTATGGTGCTGTGGTTCAAGGATGAAATGGGCCAGGGAATTCCTTTTTATTCGTAAGTCCACTAAATTTCAAAATTTTCACTAAGCATACCTCAACATTAATGTTTACTTCTTAAGAAGCAGGAAAAAATGCGCTGGAAAAATGGTTTGAGAAAAACGAAATGAATAAATGTATGAATGAATAAATAAATAGGCAAATTTTTCCTCGAAGAAATGCGAAGCACAACTAAACATTACAAATAAAAATATTTTCAAAACGCTTTGGTTAAAAAATGTGCACAACTGCACGGTAAAACAGAAAAGAGATGGGAACGATCCCAAATGTTTATTTAAAAATATTTCTTTGTTATTTATAAAGCAATATTTTTTCATGTACTTTCAGTTTCAATAATATTATTACACTAAAAAATATTTCCCATTGCCAAAAACCATTATCTATTATCCTTTTTGTGATGTAATTTTTTTACACAAAAATTGGTTTTTGTTCTTCGTTTATCTGAAATTGTTCAAATCGTTGCTTTGAACAAGGATTAACGCCCAGGTAGAATTTATTCCATTTTTGCTTCTGAATGGAAACATTGCGATCGTTCGATTTTTCGATTCTTTAATCTTGCTTGGAAATGACGTAGAATGGTCTGAAACGTAAAAATATCAAGTTTGAGGGCAATGTGTGTATGTGCAGATGGTCAACTGAGGGTCAATTTTTACAAAAGAAAAAGAACAGACGGGTAAATTAATTCCGAAAAATTTGGAATTCTGTTAGTTCATAGGTCCTAACATAGACTTGATCTGTGCTAGATTTCAGCCCGATCGGTTGAGTAGCTTTTGAAATATCGGTAATTGTTTCTGAAAAGTTTTTTGCAAATATCTGAGAAACTATCCAACTGTTTAGAAGCTTCATTCTTCTGAAATATTCGTCTTAATGTACTCTATATGGATCAGTCAGAGTATATTCATATTTTCTCACAAAGTTTTCGAAATATTTCAATTTTCATGTTTTTCGAAAAATGCGTTGTACGCCATCTCTGATTTTTCAAAATCAAAATGTCAACTTGAAATTTGACAGAAAGGTTCCTCTTATGACTTCAATGTTTGGTATTGAAAATGAGCTAAATCGGATGATTCGTTCAAGAGATATTCAATTTTGTATCTGAAACGATTTTCTTAAATATCTGAAAGACGACTCAACTGGTTTAATTTTTCTTTCTTTCAAAATATTCATTACATGTGCCTTATTTAGATGAAAGATAAAGAAATTGAAACCAACTATCAATGAAATTGATGGCAAAATAAAACAGTGTAAAAAAAATAACATGTGAAGTAACAATCATATGTCTTCTACCGTTAGGAACGGTCAACTGCTTGTTTAATCTCAATCTCAACATAAATTGTTGATTTGTAAAGTTTCTCTCTTTACACTGAAGTTTGTTCATCAAAGAAAATATGTACTGGCCATATTTAACAAATGTTATAGTGAATGAGGATAAGTGAGTGTAAGGGGAAAAAAAATATGTACCTAAAATTTGAAAAAAAGAATGAAAATAAATGAATATAAAAATGAGAGAAACCAGAGAGAAACATCCAACCGTATGCATTTTCCTCTTTCTCCCCTATGTATACCCTTGTCAACCCCATAGTGAGTGACTGACATTTCTCTCCACGTTTTCATTATTTACTTTTTTCCTCCCTCCACTTTTGATATATTTTTTTTTCTTCTCACTGCATACGTCGCCCGTTGCATTTTATTCAGAGCACGATGAATTTTCATATTTCTTACGCAATTGTTCCACACTCTCATCACCCAGCATTTACCTTTATTTATATTTTTTAAATGTACATTCGTTTTTATGGTTCAATTTTACCATGGCACAAGGGCATAACTCATTCATATCTTTCTCTAGTTTATTTTTAGTTGGTCGAGGAATTGAGGATTTTTGCGCTAAATATTCACGCTTTTATTCGCATATTTTCATGATTATTCATGTGCTTTAACGTAATCTCAAATTGTGAATGAGGCCAAATGAAATTTCTCTTTTTCCAAAACAAATCATTCATCTAATGAGCAATTGAATTTTCGTTACCGATTTTTTTCGTTTACTGAAACTTTCAATTTGCAATGGTAAATAATGTTTCACATTGCAACATTTATTAGTCCCGATCATTATCGATATTTATTAATATCTCGATATTTATTAGTCTTCTCATTAAATTAAACTTAAATTATAAGCGAAACAAATTGCTAGCAATCTTTATAGTTATAGTTTTACTTTATAGTTTTCTGTACATTTTCCATTACATAATTATACAAATTTCATAAATCAATAACAATTTCACTAAGAGATACTAGTTGAAAGGGTTTAGTGGCACATTTCAATCGATTTTCAGAAGTTGTTTGCCATTTTGCGCTTCCCGTAACGGGAGTCTGTATATTTTGCTTCTCGTAAGCTCATTCATAATTAATTCCGTTCATAAAAAGACTCCAGACCTCGATACAATTTGTTGCCTTGCAGTTTGTGGCTTTTGCAAAATGTTTCAGCAAAGCCGAGGAGTTGTAGTGCTTCAAACATGCAGCAGCTGCAATCCTTTTCATTCCCTTAAAGGAGGACGAAGTATCACCACTTACGAACACTTTGACAAAGAGAATAATTATTTTAGATCAGAAATGCTACTGCGCATTCAGAGAAGCCCCATGACAGTATGGAAAATTAAATGGTGAAAGAGTTAAGTGGGAATATGAGAGGAGTTACTTCCTGTCTTATTCCCCGAACTCTTGGAACACTATCTAAATTAAAAGATGATAAAATCACTCTTTTAATGAAGAATTAATTCCTCTTTAAGGTGGTTGTCGCGTGACAGTCTCTGTAAAAAGTTTATCCGCTGTAAAACGGGCCAGTTTAGAACACAATCTTTTAGCGGTATATAGTCTCACTTGATTGATTGCATTGTGCATGGATAGCTAAAGCATAACTATATATTTTCCATATTAACTATTTTCAATTATATAAATTTATGAATTTCCGATAATTATATTCCGTAAACCAAACGGTCAATCGATTTGATTTTTTTTTTCTGTATTTCCTCCCACGATGTATATTCCACGTTTTTTTTTATTTCTGAAACTGTCGAGCCGTTGATTTTTAAAAAATTCTAATCGGCAAAACTCCATTTAAACACGTGTTAAATCACTCGAATTTCAAAAATTTATATCTCAAGTTCAAAACGGTCAATTGCAAACGGAAAGGCTCATTTTGTTGCTAATTTTTCAAACTATTCACCATAGAATTGTTAACGAAAACTGTCGCAAAAAAATTCTACGCGACAACAACCTTAATGAGGCAGTTTTTATCTTACGACTAGTAGTACAAATGTTGAATCGACGAATTCGTCTATCTGTTATATCAATATTGCTATGAAATGGGAGTAACGGATCAAGTTTTGTGGGCATGTGTGATATGTACACAGCGAATTGATGGGCTCTGGTTTTAATAGATGGCAATATTTGTTTGATCTTTCTGACAAACAACACACCAGTGCCTTCTGATACATCAATCACATTATTTATGGTAATGTTGTTCCATCGAAATTTATGTTATCTTTCAATTACTGTAATAATCCCCCTTCAACACGGTGTGTACGAACGATTATTTATTACTAGCAAATCCAGGACCAGATAAATCTGCCACATCTGGATATAATGGGATGTCCATCAGGAAACAAAAGCCTCCAAAAATATTGTGGATATTTTCTACGCTGATGTTCAACAAATTCGGTGGTACTGAACATCCCTATAACTTCCACAGCATATTGTTGTTATGATGTATACCGATAATTATCTCTATTGGAATATGGGTGCAAGTAAATAAATAATTTTTAAGAAGTCCTTTAATATTTCGATAAACTATTCTTTATTAACACGAGGAAGGCACGTCTTTACTAGAGGAGAGTTGTCAACAGACTGAGCCTGACCATAAAGGCAAAAATTCTAAATGAAAAACAAGAATAAAAGTTAAGGTTTATGACTCAAGAGAATACAGTCCTTTTTCAAATTTCAACATATGTTTAGCATTAAACCGTTCTAGAAAATTAAAAATGAAACGATTGTGAACTGGCCTCTTTTCTGTGACTATTTTCTCAGTATGTCATAAATATTTGTCGAGTAGTTTTTGTACAACAATGGAGGATCTGTACTAAAATATTCCAACAATCGCATCACAACTGAATCCAATTTCGCACCTTTTGATGAGAAAATGAAGACATGAAATCATTACCTTCCTTGACATTCAGAAAAATGCATTATGAAAGTAAATAATTAATGGTAAATAGTGAATAATTATAAATCTTTGATTCATTCCCGTGGAGTTTTCAAAGCCGCCTCGTGAGTTTAGCACATTTATTTGTTTTAAAAGATTGATTGATCAATCAATTGAATTGATTTATAATGGTAAATGGGTAAGAATGAGTAAAAACTGAGTACGATGGATTTACCAATAATTCTCCCAAGTCCTCTTTCAAGAATTTGTTTCTCATTGATTATTCTCAATTGATCGTACATCAATTTTCAGGAGTGAATGGCCAATCTGTAAGATACATTATTATCTATCACCATTACCTTATTTTCAAATTCTATTTCATAGATATTCTAATAGATTATTCCTGATTAATTGCTCGCAATAGATTGTTCATCAGTTTCTAACATTGAATGGACACTGAGTAGGATCAATTCACCGATAACTCCTCGACGAATTCCCTCGGAAAATATGTTATGTTTAAAAAATATTGTTGGAATTGATTGTTCATCAATTTATTGGGGTGAATTGGGACTGAAGAGGATGAATTCACCAATAATTCCTGAGGGAATTTCCGTGGAAAGTAGTCACTAACTCCAGTGCCATCAATTCGCGTCTATATATATGTCTATATATGTGCAATTGTGGTCAGACCGTACGGTAGACGTGATGATTACAGTCGATCGAGCAACAAGGACTAAATGGAATGGAGTCTATCCCAATTCGACATCGTCGTTGGGTTTGGAGGATCGCTACGGCGTTCACAGCAGATGAACCGTTTGTGGACGTTGGAGAAATTGCTTCTCGGGGTTTTGTTGTGCAAGTGTAAGATGGATAAATTCGACCACCATCATCCCACTTCCAATCTCAGTCCCTCACACGCCACGAATATTTGTTGATCGAGACAACAAACCAATAGCTAATCCCGTAAATTGTAAATTGTTTTGGGTTTCGTGTCTTCATCATCTTTCCTTTCTCATTACCGGAGATTGTCCGATAGATGTTGCTTGCCTCAGCGGTTTATTTTTCAAAATCTTGTGAAGACCCTGATTTTATTTTTCTTTTACTTGACTGGAGTAATGAGGTAAAGACGGGGAGATATTTTACCGGCATTACGGAAAGATCAAACGCTCCTTTCATATCCCCCAACCGACGATCCTCAACTCCAAGCGTAAATCAGTGATTTTCTTGCATCTCTATAAATTTGCATTGCAATCATTTCAGGATGAATTCGCAAATATTTCGAGTAGACGATATTGTGGAAAAATACAATTTACGTCGTTGAGATACATTATGTGATGCAATTGATATCAGGGAGAAGTACATGGATGCTTGATTATTCAGCGGTGATTATCAGAGGGACAAATTACTGAAGCATACAATTATAGTCGGACGACTAGCGACGATTGATTGGGATTTTTCATTATTTTTTCATTGAACAATCCATGTATTTCCGAGTGGATTTCGTTTTTTGCATGAGTATTGGTATAATTTATTAATTTATTAAGAGAAAAATAGAGGTCTCATTGTTTTTAAGTTAAAAAAATATTGATAATAAAGATCTGAACGTAACAGTCAAGTCAATGACTATTAATTCAAAGCAAATTATAGAATTCGCCTAATTATTGCTGTAAATGAAAGATATATTGAAAGGAATATTTAATGGCCTTAAATTTATGAGAGTGATAAATTTTTAAGTAACCTGCGAAACGTACAATTTTGAAACGCATTGAAACGAAAATCCATTAAATTTCATTGAATACAAAAACGGAATATTGTGAATACGAATGATAAAACGCGAGCATGAATTGGGATTTTAAATTGGTAATGTACGTGCTGGCTATTTAATCTCGTGACTTACACGTTCGAATCCCGAATTTTTTGATATTGAAAAGGAAAAGTACCAAATTGGAAACGTAAGCCGGGCATTTAAAATTGTAATTTGCATTTTTAATCATGTAATCTAGCCGATCAAAAACGAAAATAAGATTCCACGACATATTTTTTAGGATTGATCTGACTTTATTCCTGAACCACAACAAATTGGAAACTGAATATTTAAGGACGATTGTTTAATGTTGAAACAAGAATACTGTATACTGAACAGTTAGCTTTCATTCAAAAGAAATCTTCGGAATTAATGAAGAAACTAACTTGACAAAATCATTCGTTTGAAATTCGATTTTTATCTGAGTATTTTCAGTACAGTTAACAAAGTTTAACTCCACTTCGCCAGAAAGATAGAAATGAAGTTAGGGTATAAAGAGGTGGAATCCTCGAATCGTCGGATTTCGCGCGTTGGATTCTCCAGGGAGAGTGCAGAGGGCTCAAACTTTCTTCGTCGAAACATTTCCAACTCCTTGCACACGTGGGTCTTTTCAGAGTTATGGTATATAGATTTGCCGCAGGAAAACCAGTGGATGCCTGTCTTCCTTCTATAGATTTCATTATTATTTGCCTCAGTTTCGCGTCTCTGAGTTTACGGTGGTCGTGGGGCTGTCGAATGCAGAGAGTGCCGAGAAATATCATTTTAATTCGTATTGAGTTACCTAGAACACATTGCTAAGACGTATAATCGATATTACAAAAGTGAAGGGAAAAATACAACCGACAGAGTGAAAAACTATTTTCATGGCTTGTACATGTCTTCCCTCACATTCTGACAAACTTCTCTCTGTCTCTCTCCATTTTATTATGATGAACAAGTGGAATCTTGTATGCTTTTGAATAAATTAAAATTGTTGGAGGAATCTGAACAATCGATATTATCGTCTGTATTTCCCCATTCAGTCAAAATAAGAGTTCAACAATGTGACAAATTATCAGTTGTTCAATTCAATATGAATTAATGGAATCTCTTAAATCAGTAACAGAAGCACTGTATACTTGGAATTGATTGTAAACATTGCACCAGCATTGGGTCAACGTTGCATCAACATTGCGTCAACATTGCATCCACCTTGTGACAACGTTGCGCCCATATTTCCTCAATATTGTCCCAGAGGTGATCATAAAAATTGAATATTTCAAGAACGAACAAAAAAATCATCCCCAAGTTTGAACTCGATGGATGTAACGTTCCAACGAATAATTTAACGGACTATTATAAACATTTTAATAAATGTTTTTTTAGTGTTTGCTGAAAAACTATAAAATAGTCCTATACAGACATGCAGACATGATTTAAAAATCACATATCTGAATCGCCGAGACAAAATAATCGATGCCGCCATAAAAAAACGAAAATTTCGGACTTTACGAAGGCAATGCCCGATTTGGAATCAAAAATATGAAATAAATTCCCTATAAACCAGAATATCCGCTAACCAATACCATCAAAAAGCCCACATCGTAGATTCGAAGCTCAACAAGTTTCCGATAACATTCTCCCAAATCTAATTTATACCTTTTCTCTTATATTTTAGTTACGACGCCAGAAAAAATGAAGGGCCCGTGCATTTTCCCATATCGAACGATTTGGGTAACCGTGCAATATTCGATATCAGTCACTATCATCACGCCAGCTTGAAAATTCGCAAGGTAACACAGCAAGACCAAGGCATGTACAGGTGTCGTATTGATTTTTTCAATTCACCAACCCGCAGTTTCCAAGTGAATCTCACACTCATCGGTAAGTTCCTCATCTTCACTAGTCTTTTCTCCGTTATAAACAGTTGCCTCTTAACGATCTTCGATCAAGATAATAAAGCTGCCAGATGAATGATATTTTTTAATGTCTTTTTCACATTATATTCGGCGAATAAAATTTTTTTACTATCGAACCACGGCTAGCAAAGTGGCTTCCCTTGTAATGCCACAGCGATTTATCGCACGACTCCTCTCTCAAACTGGTGCTGCTCGTAACTTCTCTTTGACCCGCCGGCCAGCATTTCCGCTTTGCGCTTCCAACGCTCAGCACAAAACTCTTTTTTTTCACTCTTTTATCAAACTTTTTTTCTCCCCCCCGCCCCCAATCTCCCCCCTCCCCTCCATACCTCTCTCTCCCTTTAAAACGTCGCTTTTAATGACAGAACTTCTCCGTTCACATCACATGCATGAGCGCAGATAACTAGAGTTAATACCTCGGTATTTGCCAGCGTATTCAACGAATCGTTCCGTACGAGATGTTGAATTTTTGTTCTAATCCCATTCATTGATGTTGACAGATCTGATGACAAAGTACGTGGGAAAAAATAATTAATTTTGTGTCTCGTTATCTCACAGAGCATCCCTCCCGGCCGGTTATTTACGATGCCCAGGGCAGAGAGGTGCAGGGAGTTTCACGTTTTTTCGAGGGATACGATTTGAGACTCACCTGTCAGGTCTCGGGAGGTAAGATTATCGTCTACAAATCTTAGAGTATATGGAGAAAATCTGTAAAATTTGTGGAGTATTCTTTGCTATCGTATTATAAATCAAGACATGCAATTTCAACTCACAACCGCTCCACTATATCAGGTGTGATTCGGAATTCCCAATAAATCCTCTTGTTTTTGATTTTTTATCTAAATTTTGAGCGTCGATTTCCGGAAGTTTTTACTGTACTACATTTTCTGAAATTTTTGTTCCAATTTTCTTGTCGAATGGAAACCGTGGATTAACCGATTTTTAGATTCTCTAATTCCAATCGCAAGATGTCTACAATGTTATAGAAGACGAAATAATAATAAAAAATTTGAAATGTTGAAGATTAATTTTTAAATAATTCGACGTAAATACAATGAAATTTTCCGCGAAAAATGTGAACTTTCAACTTATGATCGGTATGATTAACCTTTAATTTGACGCTATGTTTCAGGTCCAATAGCAACTTTTTTAAATTTAGTCTTTTGTCAATATCTCAAAAACTACTGGGCGGATTACAATTTTTTTCTTTTCAAAATACTCGTCTCAGTGGGTTCTATCCACATGAATGAAAATATCTACATTCGTTCGGATGAAATTTCATGATATCGCCGTTTGTCGGTTAGATCATTAGAAAACTCTGTGGACATGATCGATTAATAAAAAATTGAGACAGCGAGTGGTCATTTCATAGAATTGTAGCTCCCATAAAATATAAGATTCGTATTGTGATTTATTTCTTTTTGTGTGAATGTATTTCTTTGAATATTTCATGAACCACTCGACGGATTTCATTTTTGTTAAATACTCATCTTAGTGGTCATCATATCGAGCAATCGAAATGTGTAGATCCGTTTATCCAAAAATCGCGAGATATTGCCCTTATTCCATTTTTTAAGTATAATTTTAATGAAACATGTCTTTTATTTTTTTGCGATACAAAATTATTGTGAATTTTTCCCATTCATTCAAGAGCAATTGTTAAACAACCGAATTTACTAACCCGTGACTCTATGAAACCACTCTATTTCTGAGGAAGAAAGAAACCGACGAATAAACAATTAACTGCTCGAAAAAGCCCGGCTGATTTTTAATTATTTCCTTTCGTGAATTTTGTACTGTAACTTTCGCGGTATTCTATAAACGCGAGCAAATATTGTGATAATTAGCATGTACGCAGAATTATACCTGGGGCAACTAAAAAATTATAATACTTGTCTCGACAAAAGAGAAAGGAAATAGAGTTTCACACACGGAATATAAACAAGTCGCATTTTCGTTTATTGCACGAGGCATATGATATACGCGAAAGAAAACCGAGGTGTTGCACGTACTGTGTACGGAAATTTCGTTTCCTGGAGGAATAGTTTCACAGCAAAATGGCATGTCCCATACTCCTATGTCGGACAACGATGAATTACCATAGAAATTACGGAATGCGGACCAAGTTGATGTGCCATTGGTGTCTTCAAACACCTGGATATAATCCGTATTACCGTATCAAGTGACGGTGCAGTTGTGCATCCTTACTATAATTAAAACAAGTGGAGAATTTCTCTTTTAATACACGAGACTCCAAACGTGCTAGACCATGTGTCTCCTGTCACAGATTATTAATCCGAAAGATTATACTGTTTAAAAATTACTCCTGAAATTTTATAGAAAAACCTTAGAATGTTTAAATACCACGCATTCATATGAAATTTGTTGGTTATTATTACTGATATGTCAGTCAGACTCTAAACTTTTCAGCCATTACAAATTTTTAAAAATCTTGTCTTGAAGTTAATTTAGATAGATGGCACCATGCATATGCTACATGAGGAATTTCGTGTACACTACAGTAGATACACGTTAATGAAAGATGAAGTATTAGTGGAAATGGGTATGAGTCTTAATGAATGAATGAACAGTGAAGAATGAGTGCGTCAGCTTTTAAGCTTCAACTTTCGAAAGGTTCGATTCGATTCGATACGGCCATCTCCCGTTTAGATAGGACGAGAGTCCGTAACGGGTATGAAACGATTTCTGTAAAAGACTTGCGACTTTGAAATCTCGCGCCACTTTGGGTGGACCAATAACGAATCGCGGCTTCATGATTTCGAGATTTTCGAGATAATCGATTGTGTTAAGCGTGTCCCTTTTAGAATAGGATGAAGTACAATTATTTTTGATAATAATTTAGCAATACACTGTCAAAAAGTCGTTTGCCATTTTTGAAATTCAATCCGCTTCCCTTGGCGTGTCCGAAAAGTGACTTTTCCGCACAGTGCGAAGAAAAATATTGTTCGCAACTCGTGCTGAAAGTTGGTTTTGGCATGTAGAATTATACCACTCGTCTTTGGTTCGTGCTATAAACCCCCCACACGCCAACAATCACTTTTCCGCACTTGTTAAGAAATATACAATTTCGGGCATTTTAAGGCATAATGGGTTCGCATTATACAAACAAAAACCGAAAGTTCAAAGATTAAAATGCTTTCATTTGACACATCAGATCTTGAAAATACAAAATAGAATTTAATGTTTAACGAATACTAAATCACCTTCAAAATACCTCAATATCACACTCCTAACACACGTCGACGACTTAATCCAATAAAGGTGCAATAATAGCAGTCCAAAAGAGACATTTGTGGTTATTACGATGTTATTAGCAACTCGTACATTCACAGCAATTAATTCACGAGTATTAGAGGTATTCCAGCGTTGTTTTCCAACCAGAACTCTCATGCAAGAGAATAATGATAATTTGATTTGGCCCATGCGAAATATCTCCCACGGGGGCAATATGACATTCCCATAAATCCGATGCTGCATATTCCGGGGTAAAAGGATCATTTCAATAATTCTAATTCCAATTCCAGGGAAACCAAAACCATTGGTGACGTGGTGGAAAGATGGAGAACTCCTTGACAAGGATGTCGATGTTCCTGAAATGTCCGGAGCGATTGCGGTGTCTACCAAGTTCACTGTCAATCATTTGTTTATTGGCAAAGTGACGAGAGCTTTGTGGAGTTCAAAGTTGGAGTGCAGAGCTCAGTCCGGACCGATGTCCACTCCAGTGGTTAGAGAAGTTCCTTTGGATATTTATCGTGAGTACTATCACTTCCATAAACTTACTTTCCCAATTTCCTTGTTAATGAATTATATAAATCTCCAACTTCTCACTTGACTATTCATTTGAATTCAACAATAAGTTCTTTCTTAACGTTTTTGTCATGTTTTTCATTTAATTTTTATGGTGGATAGTTTTATCTAAATGATCGCGTCAATTTATTAACTAAAAAAATTGATTGGACGTAGTGGAAGGGGAAGTTGTGTGATGTATAAATACTTGGTGGCTCTCGGTGGTCAGTCGCATATGAAACGTGTACTTGGCCGATACGCTACCGCGTTATCTTGAAACGTATCCACTCAATGACCATTTTCTGGTGGAGATTGTCTGTTTTAAACGTGAAATAGAAACGTTTGAAATTTGGGTAACTTGTGTTTGAATGGTGTGTCATGGATGAGAATTTTTTTTAACCAATGGCTCGATAGTTATTCAAATCAAAATTCAAGGGTAGAAGCACCATTCCAACCAAAAGGATAATTAAATCGACTGACCATTTGGTTTGTCAGGAATAATTACAGACTGTTCATAAATTTACCTGATCCAGAATAATTACAATGAAACATATATAGTAGAAAAATATATAGGCACCATCTACTCTTTTTATTGCCTCTATTTATCCCGCGATTATCCTTAAATTTTATGAGAAATTCTTCGCTGTAAATGGAGTGAATATAATCAATTAATAGTGTATACGGCAGGTTGGATGGTGCATGAAAACCGAGGAAAGTCGCTGAAATGGCGTCAACGTGATAAAAATTCACGTTTTTCACGACTCGCGTTCAATTTTCGCACGAGAATAATTCACAAAATCTGTTGTTTTGAAAAATTCTACAACTGACGTTTTATAATCCTTAATGTGACTCTTATTATCTCGTTATAATTTATAATTGTCCTTCAATTTCCATCATTGACAGTTAAAATATTATCCAATAATATGAGTGGTGATCATTTATTAGATTTTCATGAACGATAACCGTGTATTTCCAAAAATATCTACACAATATATGCTGTATATCGATTTTTCATATATTTATAATTTCGAAAATTGTATAGAATTGGTCAAATTTTATTCTAAATATATTTCCCCGAGGGGAATACTTAAAATGTATTCGCCTCGCCATAAAATTAGTAATCATCTGCGGAGACCGGTATGACCGAAGAAAATCGAAAATGGTAAAAATTCAAAATACTAAATAGACTAAAATCCTTCTGCTCGAATGGCAGACTAAAAATGATGATGAAGTTAGTGAAAAAGATTCGCTACGTTAATAATGCAATGAACTGTTTGCAAATCCAGACATTTCATATTAGGTGATACAATGGAAAGTTTTCCTGAGTCGTTTCTGTATTTTATTTCTCACTTTATTACCCGTCATCTTTATTTGTATATGCACATACATACATGAAGACAGAAAAAAAACAAAGAAGAAAGAGAGAAAAAGCTTTATACTGTCGACCATAAGTGGTTTTTACACAGAGTAATCTCGTGCGGTTGATACGCCTGATTTTATTCTGTCGTCTATGGCAACGCGATATCATGAAAATAAACTTTACTGCTGGTTGGAAAAAAAAGTGTCCTTTGAAATGTTTCGTTGAAAAAAGCCATGCCCTCATTTCCCCCATGCAAACCCGCGCAACACTATTGTGTATTTTTTCATTGAAAATACTGGTGTGAAGCAGAGCTTAGTTAAATGTATTTACTATATGTGATTCTCGTGTTATCAAAGGACTGCATGACGGAAAGAATTCGCAAAAACCACGAGTACTAGAAATAATAGTGTAGATCTATTGGTGCTGAACTCAACGTCCCGCTGTGGTACGTTAATATCCTGTTGTCAATATAAAATTGAGAAAATGGAAAGGCAAGAGGAATATTAAAGAGGAAATTGATTTTGAAATTTTGATATCCGCTTTGCTGTCCAGCTAAAAGCCCGGCCAATGCCCAATATTATTAGGATTTTATCGAAATCCATAACGATATTCATTAAAATGAATATTCTATCTGCCCTAAGTGCTAATTAATAATTTTCTTGCTGCATTTTCCTCGATTTCCATAATTTATGTTTAGGGTTGTAGCAATACTCCAATGAGCTCCTGATGAGTTATAAATTATTCAGCGAATTGTGTATTCGGCTTTTTCATTCGAGGAATATATCGCGGATATTTTTATTTTATCACATTTTAATAGAGAGTTTGAGATGTTTAAAATTGACAGATTCGTCAATTGTCTCGTTATTTCCTCTTCGCAGTCGATATTGCCGGTTGAGAATAATTGATTTTTCATTGAATTTCGTATGGAATATGATTAATGATAATTAGTGGACGAATAACGTAATATTGTTTAAGCTCTGAAGTATTTGAAAATGTCAACAGTATTATCGATTGACATTTTATTGTGCACGATGTATTAATTAGCCGTCCGTAAATTGCATTGGAAAATTGATTATGGAAATGGATTCTAGTCGGAAAGTGCATGACTGACCCATAACAGTTGAAAAATCCATGAATTTTATTTTTAGTTTTATTTTTAATTTTATTTTTAATTTTATATTTTTAGTATATATTAATTAATTCATAATTATTTGTTTATTAATGAATGACCGGATGGTTCCCCCAGAAAAAATATCCGTAAATGTCTAGTTCAGGTCTACCAAACCATTCTGGATGTTGTATATTTGGGTGGATGGGTTTCCGGCACCCAATTAAGGATTTGGGCAGCATTTTGGAGGGGAAAAATTAGTTTAGGACAGATGGTTGTTAATATACTGCTCTCTGCGTTATCCAGTCGCTACGAAAGACAATACATATTGGTACATTTAGAGACAATGGACACATGGAAGGATGGATTTCAAATAGTTCCGAGCACTTCACTAAACTCTGACTTCACCTCACCCGACCACCTACCATCACTGACTAGACACGACGAGTGATTTATTCGCCGCTAGCCTTCTGTGGGAATTCAAATTCAAAAGGGTTTAGGGAATTCCAGGGACAACCGAGTTTACATCAGAACATCAGAACTATTTGGTGATGTATTTTTCTCTCTGTTGCTTCATCCTCTCTTCTATGTTCCTATTTCTGGATACCGAGAGGATAAAAATGGATTTTCCTTAAAGAAATTAATATTTTCATGATTATTATTTTTGGTCGACCTAAACCGTACATTTACCTTCAAAGATTAAAACTGATGCAATTCCAATTTTTCCATAATTGAGATTAATTTGTAAGTGAAAAAATAAATATTTAATCAATTACTTGTGGACGTCACAAAGAATGAACGATGAAGAGAAATTAAAATTGAATACATTAAGCACAGGTAATTACAGAGTTAAATGAAGAAAGTCATGAGGAGTTTAAGAATTAAAAATATGATTGTTTATAAATGGGATGAAAAACGAGGGTATGGCGTTTTGTTTTCCTCTGCGTAATATCTTATTTTATTCATAATGCAAAAAACTTCAGAAACGAGGACAAAGAAATATTCAAAAATAGCGAACGATGTAAAAGGGTAGAGGCAAAACGGAAGTGAGATAAATTCCAGTCATCATTTTGGTGCTTCTTAAACTCTCCTTTGTCGGTTTAAGAATTTCTCGGAAGTTGGGTATAAAAATATTATGGACCCACGTTGCGCGAGTTGCAGTGTGACTCTTTTTTCGCATTTACATTTCCGTCCTGGACTTGTATCCCACTGGGTATGACTATCTACTCGTATACTTTTACACGCGTAAATTTACTTGAATTATTCCCCAGGAAATTTTTCTACAACTTAAATGAAGACATGAAGTAGGATAAGTGCAGATCAAATGGATTGCTTCTAGAACTAATTAATTGGATAAAGCCAATCAACATTAAGGGATGAAAACCTTGAAGGTTGAGAAAACTCAATTAATATTATTGAATTGCATAAATAAATAATTGTGGAGTTTTGTCGTAATTTAGAGAGGAATATTCAGTAAAAATTGCAGATCCTTTCACGCAAGCCGCAAGCGAAAAAATTTTAAGTCAATTTTTATAGAAATATAATAAGAAGAAAATGAAAAAAGTCCCATAATTTTTCTGGAGCCTACAAACTAGAAAAGGGATTTCCCGAATCATTTTTTTTCCGTGTAATTTTTATAGAATTTTTATCTCACCGAATGGTAGAATATTTTTCTTTACACAATAAAGATCGGAGTTATTAGATTTTTCATCACTTTTCCGATAGGCGCATTCAATTAAGGCGTACTTGTGAAAACAGTGGAATTTCATCAACAGTTTAGTAGAAATTGGTAGTAAAATTCAATTAGACACAATTTCAACTTTCAAATGAAATTTCGATCAATTTAAAGTGACGAGAAACCGAACGGAATGTATGATTTTTTTAAAAACGAGTTTTTCCAGAATTTCAGTCTAACTCCGATTTGCTGTAAATTGGCAAAATGTTCGCGGAATACCTCGCCTCAAGCTCATATTTCCCTCCACTTATCCCTAGTAATTGTAAAACCGCGTGATACTGTGATACCGATAAAACCGAGATAGTTTAATTTACAGCTGATTGCGTTCCAAGTAGCCGCGACGGTTGTCCTTTAAGAACCGCTGCCAGAAACCGTGAAACGACTTTTCCTCAATTCGTGTGTTAAATCCCATGAGCCACGGACGTATCTGTAGTACCAATACAAAACTTCCACTGCGAAAGCATCAGTTAACGAAAAAAGGGATCAATAGTGGAAATATTTTCCGCCAACTTTACAGCATGTAGAGGTCTGTATTCTATAGCCAACAGGCGCCAAGCGCCCATTTTCGACGAGTTTTCCATAGTTGAACGGGAGGTAATAATCTCTGTGGATTTGATTCGTCGTATAAATCAGTGACACTTCTCAATTCAATTCATCTTCGACAGAGCCACTTTATCTCCTCGTAATTCATTAATTCAACTAGTTCCGCAAGTTCAATAAATTAAGGCAGCGCTGTATTATACACTCGTGGAAATTGTTCCATATAACTGGAGCAATTAAATGTTGGATATCTATTGCAGTCATAAAGAAAAAAATTCTTGACGAATAATCAGTATCAATTAAATATTTAATACTGGAATCATTAGATTAAGTGAAGAAATTAATATATTTCTAGATTTCATCAGTATTAAATACAAGGAAATTCGTGATGTGGAATGGAATTTAGGCAGTTCCCAAGATCACGAATGTCAAGAGCTGTAAAAATTTGAGAGAAGTCAAAATATTATTGAAAAACAATATTTTGAATATGACGCAATTTATTTGAACTTGCAGGATGCAATTGAAAAATTCGAGAAGGTCCCAAAAATTAATTTTGCTTGTTTCAAATTTTCGGGACTTTTTCGAATTTTCCATAACTTTTTTGGGATTGTAAAAATTCAAAATCATTTGATTTCGTTTGCCTTCTTCATTTTTTAAACATATATATTTATATTTATATTTATATCATTGTGGTGACGAATCACTCTGAAGAGGATTCGTCATGAAACTCTCGACTCAAGTGGAGTAATTTTTTCTGTTGATGCATCTGCAAGATATCTCCAATTCAAATTCCAATTTCGGTTGGTACGGCTTACGTGTCATTCGCCGTTTATCAATCGCGTACATATTTATCAACAACGAAAATTAACCGAATAAATAACATTATTATCCTGCCAATTGAATGAAATATAATAAGTTTTTGACTTATTTTGGATATATTTTGATGACAATTACAATGGACATGAGGTGATTTCATGTTTTTTTTTTTTGGTTTCAGTGAAGCCTGTTGCAGTGAAAATACGTCTAAATGATGACTTCATCCTCGCTGGACATCCAATAGCAGCGGTATGTGAAACATGGGGCAGTTGGCCAGCCGCTACCCTTGGATGGAGTCTCGGAGGACTAAAATTCCGTGACCCAAGTGTAGCAACAACCCAACGAAGCAATTCCACGTTGAGTAAACTTGCTCTAGTACTTGATCGCGACGACGATGGCAAAGAGTTGAGCTGTACAGCGGTCAATCACAATTTTCCCGGTGGTGAACTCAAAGAGATTCGTCAACTCCGAGTTGCCTGTGAGTTGATGATATTGTCCAGCATTCTTCCACTTTTTTTTTAAATTTTCATTGTGCCTCAGCAATTTTTATCCCCAGGCTATCGCACAAACGCCAAGTAAATTCCCAGTTGAATGGGAATATAATCCACTTACTTGACTGATTTCATTTTGAGAACGATTGCAATTTCAATAATGGAAAAAAGAAAATGATGAAAATGGGGGGGAATTGGTGAAAAAATAGATAGGAGGGAGGAAAATCTGAAGAGTGGACTTTACTTCAACGCTCACAGACTATAATGCCTCGGGGAATATATACTTCAAAGCTTTGAGTGATGGAGAGAGAGAGGAAAATGTCGCTGTAAAAGTGAGGCAGAGAGAGCCATTTACCTCTGGCCAATTTCATCCACCAATGAGTGTTCGTGGCCTAAAATTTGTCAGATCGGTGGCCAGTACGTACCAGTCGCCCACCAATTCACCACGACATTTTCCCTTGATGAGTGAACTTTCAGAATTCGATTACACTGTCCGAACAATTTTTTCTCCCCTTTGCTCTCTGCTTTTCTATCTTTTTTCCTGTCGCTTATTAAATGCATAATCCCTGGAACAAGAATTACCGCTATTTCTTTAACTGGATCAAAGCAAATTCTTCACGAAATCATATAGGATTTTATACAACAATTCCCCTTGATGTGGAAATTTTTTCGGTTCCATTAAAGTGTGTCAACAATTTTTTCTCCATTCTGTAAAATTTCAAATTGTTCAATGCAACTTTTTGAAATAGAGCAGTGACTACTATGGCAACTACTTTTTCGGGTGGAATTAGATTGAAAACAAAACCTCCAGGTCTTTCTTTGTACGAAACCATTTGAAAGATTACTACCAATGAAATCGATAGAAAACAAAATATGAAAAACAAATAACACATAATTTGCCTTGTTACATTTTTATTATATTTTTAAAGCGTTGAAATGTGCATTATCGTTTCAGGTCTGTTAGTTCTCCTCTTCACATTTCGGTTTAACGTTATATGATTGCTAGATTTCTATTCAACCATTTACATATGACGCTCGATAATAAAATACACCGGCGCTTAGTATCGTGACCAATTTTTCAGTACCGAAAAACCGGACGTTATCCGCCCTTCTTCCCCTGTCAACCAAAACTTTTGTCTTCGGAACCAATAAACCGGATTAAAACCAAAGTGAAACCAAATTCCTCAGAATCAAAACTGAAAACGTAAATTGATATCAGAACGGAGGAAAGGTGGTAGTTTCCCGCGCTGCTCAGGAGTAAGGTTGTGGAGAGAGAGATGGGTCGAGGTGGAAACGAGTTATTAGACATAGGCTAATCTTTTAAATACAATGGAAGAAACTTAACCCTAAGGCGTGATGTACGCAGATGCTCAAAAAAAAGAGAACTAGAATAAGTCCTGAAAGAAGTTATGATCTCAAAAGGAAAAAAAAATACGAGAGCTGACAGCGACCAATATCTATCCCGAAAGCCGTTCGGAAAATCGGTCCCCTAAGCCGGCAAGAACTGCGACATAGGCGAAAATATGTAGATTACTCGAAAGTCCCTAGGGCGATAAACGCAAAAGGAGACCTCTTTAA